TATTTTACGTTTAAAGTTCCTCACAATGCAGCACTTGAGTAAATAAACAATACTCGTTGAATAAACCCTGTGATTAAATGATCACGTTAACAACACGGAGACGTCAGCGGAAACCTCTCGTCAACCCTCTCAGCAGCGTGATGTACAGTATGTGGGAGAGTGGCTCTTTCATCACCACACATGGAGCTGGTGCGTGCCGCTCTGCCGCTCCGCAGCCGGGAGCATGTGAATAGATGCCCACATGTACAGAGAGAGGGAGCTGGAAATAGAAAGACAGGAATACCAGGCCTGGATGCTGTAACGCAACCATGAATAAGAGATGGTTTCAATGCAGCTTTGTTGATGTGTGCACACACACACACACACACACACAGCTCCATTAAAGGAAGCCCCGGCCATTAGTAGTTTTCTCTTCTTTGTATGGGACAGCACTGAAAAGAGTCCCTTCTCTATCCACCCCAGGACACACTCAGACGCACACAGACAGACACACAACCTCCTCTTGTGTGATGCAGATGTTTTGGACGACACTGGTGACATATTGTTCTGGTGTTGATCACAACAGAGAGTGATTCAGCTTCAATCTTCATTTTCACTAAGTCTTGATGATTCGACGCCTCCGACATCTGACGGCGTGTATGTATGTTTGTGTGTGTGTGTGTGTGAGTCTCTGTGAATGTGCACAAACCAAATTCAAAAGACTTTATTGTCATTGCAATTGTGGATGCGAAAATGCTTCATTTTGTCCCCTCGCTTCAGTCTTCATTCACAAAACCTCTGCCTCCCTCTGTGCAGACGACCCTGCCTGTAACAGCTGACAGCTCGCACAGAGCTTTGTCCTCCCCTCCCTCTTGATGCTGTCTTTACTGTGACTGTCTGCACGAACTCTGTTGATGAAGCAGCGATTTTTTAAAATCCTCTATTTATGAGAGCATGAAGCAGAAAACCTTGCACTGTGCAAATGTTCCCAAAAAAGCAAGATGTGCATTAACCTGATCTTTGAAATCGCCTGACTCAGAAGATGAAGAATGTGAAGAATCATTATCTACACTGCTCATCCATCGAGGGTCACGAGGGAGATAGAATATGTCTTCATGTATATGATGACAGAATGAAGACATAAGCAATGTTAAAATACAAATAAAAACAAAATGAAAATCAGACAAAGTGAATATTAGTTGCAGCCGTGCATAATTACTTACGTTACTACTCATACTCATACGTGACTGTCACCACGCACAAGTGCAAACAAAGAATACACACAACCAACACACACACATATAAGTACATATATATATTTACACACACTTGACCTGGATAGAGACAACAGGGTGGCGACGCCCCCCATTGACTGGGTCCATTAGGGGCCAAAGTACAGCTGAGCCACAAAGAGACACACTAGATTACACACATATAATGGAGGAGTGTGTGTGTGTGTGTGTGTGTGTGTGTGATCTAGATAGAATCTATCTAGTTCTGATCTAGTCGTGTTTTGCAGAAATGTAAAGCTGAGGTTTCTGATCTGAGCTTCCATCTGAGATGTGCGTTATGAATTAATGATCAGTGCTGAGTAAGACCCTGTCTCTAAGTGCTGCTGCTGCCGCTCACATCACCGCCACCGCTGCCCCATCTCTATCTGTGTGTGTGTGTGTGTGTGTGTGTTTTCTGGTTTTAAATATGCTCTACCTTTCTGCACGCGAGCGAAGGCGATTAATCCTTCGCCGACCGACGACTGATGGCTTAATCTCGTCTACAGCCTTTTCCCAGCGGTCATAGAAACAAAGTGGTACAGCTGACGTTGACGCGTCAGTTTGGCTGAGACTAAATTTAGATGAATACAGGTGAACCTTCATCGGGAATTTCAAGTGAACGACTGTGAGGATTTGATCAAAGCCACGCACTCTCCCGACACAGTTATACAATAATGACTCATCTCATTTGAAGTAAAAACCAAAAAGAGTAAAAGATACTTAATGAGGCAGCGTCCGAACCAACTGGGGAAAAGAAACTTCAGCTTGATAGATGCTCGACAATCCAGTGAAAACATTTATGCTCCTGCTCATTTTAATAAGTCATACATCCCTGCCTCCTCCATGTTAGTGGATGGGACACGGACCAAAATACATTGTAAAAATACACTTTAAACAAACGGATGCATGTCCAGGAGCTCAAGTTTACTCTAAGTCTAATTTGAGGCTATAAAACCAGACAGAAACGTCCTGATCGACAGCTGAGACTAACTCACGATTGGTTGAGCGCGTGTGTCGGCATGGCTCCATCCCCCGAACGCCACTCTGCAGACCCTGGGCAAGAAGGCAGCGTTCGCACCCAGGGTATTTTGGTTTCATTTCTGGATAGTGGGAGGAGGTGGAGACATCTCGTCCATCACGATTAATCAGCGAGTTTCGCTCAGTTCAGAGGGGGAAAAACAAAAACATGGCATAAGTTGTTAATTGAGGTTAAGAGTGAAGTGGAGCTGTCAAGTCGTCCATCTTTATATAAAGTCTGTGGATTCAGATTATTAGATACATAATGAATCCATGATTCCTTTAAACTACCTTCTACTTTTCAACCCAACATGTCGTGTTCTTATTTCGTTCTTATTTCAACCATCATCGTATTTGTGCTCGGACGGTTGCACCAGTGTGACTTCCTCTAATGGAGACTCTTAATCCGCCGGAGGACGTCTAATCCCACTCACCACATACACAGGACGTCATTACGTGCAACCTCGCAGCACATTTACACAAAGAGCTGTGATCTAATCTAATCCAGACCCTCTTTACTGTGAGGGTTCATCAAATATATCACAACATATATGACATCAGATGAACGGGGGTGGAGCTGGAGACTTCCTGGATTAAAAACCAAACAGCTCGTCAGAAGCCTCGCGACAGAAGGTGTTTCCAGAACCTTCTGCGTGAAAACACAAGCTGCAGCGTGACCTGGACGTCACGGACAAAACCCGAAATGAAGCCGAGACACTATTACTGTCGCTGTTACTTGTTTTTTTTAATTTACACAAAGTTTATCTGTATGAATTCAATTTGTCAACACTTTCAAGTCTCTGCACGTGTGAGTGGGGGGGGGGATCTTAAAGGTTTTTCCAGGACAGCTCAACAGTCATTTCACACCTTCTTTGTAGGGGGGTTGACCGCTTCTGCTCCCAGCATGCACTCTGGCTCCGGCAGCAAAGTGATAGTACAGGAAAGCATCGTCAAATAGAAATTTTCTTTTCCCCCCAGGGGGACTTCGATAGAGTGGTGAACCATGACCCTGAGAGGCGAAGGCAATGATTCCCTCCAGCCAGCATCCTGGTATCTCCGCTCTCGGAGACGCTCACAGCTCTTAATGGAGTCTGTGAAGTGGAGGGAGGAAGCTGTGTGATAACTGTGAAAAGTCATGAGAGTGGTACACATCATCCAATCTAAACTTGGCAAGAAAGAAAATATATTTATTCCCCAAAAATAAAAAAACATCACAACCTTTTGAATCCAGGACATCTCGTCACATTCAGAGACGTTAGATTTGATGTAAATCTGCTATGACGACAGGAAAGACGCCTCTGGAGTTTCACTTTGTCAGAAAATACACTGAAGACATGAGCAATTATTGAATAAGTGTCTTTTCTCATGCTCTATTTAAAGGAATTATCCATGTGATTTACAGGGACATCTGCTAAAAACTGTTTTTATATAGTGAAACTCCTGAAATGTAGTGTTGGAGAATCTGTGCTGATTTCTGAGCTTACACTTCAGCTGGTGACATTTAATCCACTAATCTATATATATATATATATATTTATACTCTAATCAAAGAAATGATTTTTGATTAGCCTACACAAAATATGATTTTTCATTTTGTTCATAATGAATTCCTGGAACTACACGTCCTGAAAGTGTTTGGTTTGGCATAAAAATACATCATCTGACTGTTTCACAATAAGAAATCACAGCCTGCAAAGAATTTGAACTAATTATCAAAATGTTCATCTTTATATTGCACATTAGAAATATGCAATATATATATATAGTATATCCATCATTGTGCTATTTCTCCTAGAATCTGTTTCTCATCTTATTTTTCTTTATTTCCACTTGTGCTGCTGTGACGATTATAAATTTCCTCTATGGGTCAGTGAAGGTCAATCTTATCTTATCTTATCTTAACTCAAAACACATTCTATAAGATCCTTAAACACTGAGGCTCCACAATCTGGTTAGTAGCACACAAAAATACAACCAGTAACAAGACTGTGTCCGCCACATGTCCAATCTAACAATCTGTGGTCTCTCTCGCTCTGATGCAGTTTCTCTCGTATGTGGAATAAAACCAGCACAGAAGTGTGTGTTTTTTTTTCCTCTCAGTGGAACCAGCTGGAGCTTTAAGTGGCCATATTAGGGCAGAAATCCAGAGTCTGGCAATCGGGGCAAGAAAGGGTCAACACACACATGCACGCACACACACATGCACGCACACACACACACAGGGAACAGTAGATCTGACCTTAGTCTGTCTTGAGACATGCAGGCTCCGTGACTTCAGAGGACAATACTCTGATTTACAATCACTTCAATTAAGATTATTTTGAGTACTGTCCTAACAGTACATGTCCTGAACATAACCTGAACCCAAACTTAAAATGTGTCTTCAGCCTCAGTAAACAGATGCAGGTCCCACACATCTGTCTGGAGACTTGTGGTGACGGGGCTCAGTAGAAAGTTGTGGAATTGTTGTGGAAAATGTTTTAAACACATGTTTAAAGAGGAATCCTGCAGATTTCTATGAACCAGGCCTGTCTGCGTATACACGTATTGTTCTTATGTGCTTATTATTATATCATTAACTCGGGTTTTGAATGTATAAATACAACTTTTACATGTGTGCATCATACTAACTCTCTCTCTCTCTCTCTCTCTCTCTCTCTCACACACACACACACACACACACACACACATATAGGAGGATCCCAGCTGACAGGACAGTCAGTGGAGCGCGCACCGGAGCAGCTCGTTCACTTGTCCTCTTCGCTGCTTTGCGCCACCTCATCCTCCTCCACATCTTCATCCTCCTCCACATCTTCACCCTCCTCTTCCTCCGCTGCATCACACCGGACCGTGGCTCCTCTCCTGCCGCAGAACAGCCTCGCACCGCTCGTCACCGTCTCCTTCGCTCCGGAGAGACTGCGGATTTTTTGTTTTTTTTATCCCTCATCTCTTATTTTTCTTTTTCTTCTTCTTCCAGTGGATACGGGAGCTGCGCAGTCAGTCTCAGCCGCTGCTGGTTGTCAGAGCCGCGGGGAAATAAAGAGCCTCCATCCGTGCGTCGCTCCAGCTGCACCGGGCAGACTTGGGAAGAGCAACAGCCTCCACCGGCGCATCAGTGAGGTAAGAGCCGCGACCACAGCCTGGACACACTCAGGATTTATTAAACCAGATCCTGCAGCACTAATACTAACGCGAGAAAAGAGTTTGCTGCGAATAAATGCAGACATAATCAGTTTTACACCACACACACATGCAGGTGTGGAGTTTATTTTAAGTCCATAAAGTCTCCACCTCCAGCTCAACACTAGATATATGACAGAAATCTCACATTTCTCCTCTGCACCTCCTCCTCTCCTCCTTCTCTCTCTCTCTCTCTCTCTCTCTCTTCTGTCATGTCCTCACCTGACCCCACATTGAGGTGTTTGTAGAGGAGGCCTGTTTTTAAAGAGGGGATGTGATAACCTGTACAGTCATAATAACTGTGTCTCTTGGAGGCTGCGTTGTTGCACTGTGGTTGTTCTGCACCCGTGTTGTTGGTGCCTATTTGTATTTGTTGAATCTCTTATGTCTGTTTCTTGTTGCTTTGTGTCTTTGTGGATGCATCGTGCCTCCTTGTTTTCTGTCTCTGGTTGTTTCGTCGACCTCTTTTGTGTTTCTTTGTCGTTGTGTTGCGTCTCTTTGCGGTAGTTGTGTGTCTCTGTGGTTGTTTTCTGACTCTTTCCACTCACACACGTTAAAAACGCTGAGGGAACAGTGGATCTGACTCTGGTGTGTCCTGACACATGCAAACATTGATCCCACCCAATCCAGCTCAGGCCGATATCGATCACATCTGATCGCCTGCAGCCGGGCAGGGTCGTGCCGGTGTGATATCAGCTGCACTGGTCCCGGCGGCTTCAGAGCTCACTGAAGCGGTGAACACGTCGCCTGGTTGTAAAAGCTCAAACGTCGTCTGGCTTTTTTATCGTCCTCACTTCCTCCTCAGTTTAACTGCAAGGTGCCTCGTCGTTGCTTCCTCGTCCCTCAGCCGGTCGGAGGAGCGCTGCCTGCTCCTTTCTATTTTTAGTCTCTATTTACAATGCAGCAGCTACAGAGGCGAGAAGAGTCCCTCACTCTGTTTCCCTTCATCTCTCTCTCTCTCTCTCTCTCTCTCTCTACCTCTTATTTATCCTTCTCTGTCGCATCGTCCTCGTTTTGTCTCCAACACTTTCTCTGACTTTCACTCGTTCACGTTCCTTTTTTTACCATTTTAACCTTCAGGGAGTCTGGTAGGAGACAGATGGAGCATTTAACACATTTAACACTGGTAGAGCGCACACACACACACACACACATACACACACACACACACACACACACACACACACACACACACACATACAGTACATCACTGTTAGAGGCTGGTAAAGACAGCAGAGGAGACAGAGGGTAGAGGTTAATCTCTGGATGCTTTTGACCCAAATCACAATGTGACCTACAAACCCCTCCCCTAAACCCCCCCCCCCCTCCCCCCACCCGCTTTTCCCTGCACACACCCATTCAAACAAATTGTGTCTTTACAAAAATACACAACAGCCTTTAAAGCTTAATAAACTACGTGATCAAACCAAAACGAACTGTATCGGTTTTAATCCCCGTCCACACTAACACGCCTGAAAATCACGTGACCACACATACACTTGACATGTGTGTGTCCGTGTAAAAACAGGAAGCATCGGGCTGTTTGTTGAAATATGTCGTCTCCTCCGCACGTTAACCAGTTGTATCATTGTAGAGCGCAGACTTTGACAGCATCAGTAACACCGGTGATTGATTCTGCACGTTGTGTTCCACTCTGGTGGCCGAGGTTTACGTCGTGACCGAATAGAACTCGAATCAACAAGAGGTCGTGAGCGTCTGTGTCATCACGGTTTCTGCTCGTCCAGATTAAAATGCAGCAACGTTCCCAAACGTCTCTGTTTTAGAGCCTCAGAAACTCTGGAGTCGTGTGGACGTCAGATCACATCTGTGGCAGAGTTGATGTGTTTTCAAATGAAATGTTTTCAGTGTGGACGGAGCCGTAGATACTGAGATCCCAAGGAGGCGACGCGCTTCTGTCCTCAGCCTAAATTGAATCAAATTAAAATTGAAGTGTTTGATTAGAAGCTGCCAAAAAAAATACAGTTAAAAAAGAAGAAGTAATTAACTCCGACATCTTTTATGATACTTGAGTTTCATCCTGAGGCAAACACCTCCATGCAAAGTGTCCCAGTTTATACTCACAGCTCCTCATCCTCCGCAGTATCCACTGCATACACACCCAGACCTCAACCAAACACCACACACTGCTGTCCTGAATTTTTATTATTACGCTGACGCGGGGCCGAAATTAGATTCTTCTTTGATCACATTTATCTCACATTTCATTACCTTTCACTGCTCTGGTTTGAGGGTGGAACGGTTCACGCCAGTGAATCTTCAGTAGAAAGTCTGAATTCTGCAAAAACTGAGGCCGCTTCTTCTTCTGCCTCCGCACAGTTTAACAACAAGTCGGCCCTCGGTCAGATTCTATGGTGAATCCGGTGGAAAGCACAGATTAGTGTTGTTTCTGCAAATGAAGACACATTGTGGGACGGAGCTGTCTTACACTCGTGATGTGTCTTTTTCTTCTGCTGGATCCTGTGACAGTCAGCAGGTTTACAGTAATTTCACTCAGTGGTTACGATACATTTGTCAGGAATATATTGGTGTTTGAATATACTTCACCAGCACCAGGTGTAATCCTTCATTTAGGACGTTTTTATCAGCGTTAACCTCGAGTGAAAACAGAGAGAGAGAGAGAGAGAGAAGGAGAGATTGCTGTTTGGAATTTGTCACAAATGGACGGGGAGCACTTAGCGAGGAGACATCTGTGTGAGACAGCGGGAGACGGACAGGAAGCAGATATCGGCGCAGTGAGAGGAAGAGAGGATGCAGCAAGAGGGGGAACAAACCTCAGTGTACGACAACAACATTAGCAGCCTTTCCATGAGTCCCGTTTTTAAAAAAATGTTTTACTTCTTGCTCAGGTTTTAATTAGCTGCCGGCACAGAAGACAAACAGAGGAATAATACACGTGTATGGAGCCGATTACAGGCCGCGTAATATGAGCTGAAGAGGGAGACAGTAAAATGAAAAAGGTAAATGATGAATGGGGAGAATAGAATGGAGAGTGGCAGGTGCAGTCAATAGAAAAGGGACGGAGGAGAGAGCGCTTTATTTAAAACACGCTTTCAATAAACGTGTTCCACATTTATTACACACGCCCACTTTCCAGCGTCCATATTCTGAATACAGACGTATAATTACAGAAATAATATCCGTCAGTTAATAATGGCGGACGCTTCCACTGCCACCTTGTGTGATTCAGACATGAAGAGTTTGGTCTGAATATAAATATCAGGTGTGAGAGGTTCCTCAGACCAGAGCAGGTGTTACGATATAATGTTTGAACCTCGAAGACGTTCATTTGGTGCATTTGAACTAGTGTGTAGTACTGTAGTACTGTGGAGTACTGTGGAGTACTGTGGAGTACTGCGCCTGACGGTGCTGATGCTAGTAGTAATACCATGATGTTACCATGGCAACCAAATGAACTGTGAGTGAGGCTAAAGTTGCTCTTACATGAAATTAATCTGAAATTGTTGATCCACTTGGTTTTCATAGCTTTGACATTCGAGCAGTGATTAACAAGAGGACGCCATGTCTCACTGACGAGCGCCTAACGCCAGTCAACCCCCGACATGTGATGAAGTCCTCTTGGAAAAAGACTGGGACTGGGAAAAGCTAAGAAAATGAACAAAAGCGACTCTGACAGAGAAGAAGGAGACAGAGACACAGACAGGAAGGGAGGCGGTGAAGACGCCGGGAAACAGATGTCGACAAATAGACGTGAAACTGGAAAAAAAAAAAAAAAGAGAGAGGCAGAGGGTGAAAACAGGGATGAAGGAGACGGTGAGTGATGGAGTTAGAAAGAGGACAACATCCACTCCTCCTGTCGTCTCTGGAGAACGCTGCTGAAACCTGATCTCTGTCGCTCTGCCTCTTTCTGTCTAATATTGGTCGCACACACACACACACACACATTGTATATTGCATATGGTGAAGTCCTCAGACGTTCTCAAGGACACACGTACGCCCCTTCGTAAAATCACGATATATTTCTTTCTCGTTTGTCTTTTTTTTTTTATTGCCGTCTCAGTTTTGTCTCTCTTCCTGAATCAGAGTTTCAAATAAAGAACGGTTATGCAGCGGCGCCTCCTCCACAGAGTCCGCCACGTTTGCACCGGCCATGTTTCTTCAGCACGGACAAACACACACACGGCTCGAGAACTGATTCCACCGGCGTTCACTCCTGAGTCCAAATGAAAACTTGAGCCGCAGAGTTAATATTTTGGTTTTAATCGGCTCCGGCTCTCTGATCGGTTTGGTGAGAGAGCGCCTCAGCTGTGGGGTTGTTTGTGACAACAGATATATATTTAAACTGCATTTCACTGTGGAATAGAATAGAATATAATATATATAAAGAAATGTCGGCGCAAATGTTAGAAAAATAAAATCACGAGCTGTGTTTCAACCTCCCACAGCCCACAGCGCGTTTTGTTAAAAATAGATGCTGAGAGCTTGAGAGCCATTCAAACATAAAAATACACCACGCGGTCTTTGTAGTGCACCACACAGTCGAGTGGGTTTTTGAATTCAGAGCTGCCTGAAAATGCCCCCCCACTCACTAAACTGTCATAAAGGAAAGCTGCACAACATCAAGTGCTATTGAACGTCCTTTAAAAATACCAGTGTTGTCTCTGTGTTGAAGCACCTCGATGAGATCAATCCTGAGTGCAGGCTAGACAAGCACTCAGCTCGCCTGCATCCTCAGATGACACACACGGCCGCAAACACACACACACACACACAGAGGGGGGGTACACAAACACAAGTGTACGCACAAGAGAGGACGAGTATTACTGACAGTGGGTGAGAGCGTGGGTGTGGAGTGTGAGAGAGCACGACGGAGGAAGCTACAGAAAAGAACGAAGACAACGTTGCTCCAGGGAGTCGACCACAGGCTGGTCGGGCCTCAGATCCCACCATCAACTATTCACATGCAGCCGATCTGACATATAGTGAATCATGACACCAGGTAGATACCGGGTGAAATAGTTCTACCCAAAAATGCATTTTGTTTTCGTGTGGTGCCGCTGCTGTAGAACGGGGCCCTCGCTGTTCTGAGTTACAAAGTCGGATCTTTCTTTAGCCGGTTTCAAGACGTGGATTCTGGAGGATGTCCGCAGAATTGGGTCCGGACTTCCTCCAGGGTTTCCCCTTCATGAAGAACGCAGCAGGAGGTTCTCCGCTCGCAGCAACAAGGAAAGCTTCGGAGCGTTTAGGCGAGGGGTGGAGCTGCAGGCAGGGGCGGGACGTAACGCGTCATCTGAGTCTCAGTGCTGAACGTGGATTGTTCGATATATGAGATAATAAAACTGTCTCTATGGGACGGGTTTTGTCGGATTTGTAACGTGAAAGTCGTCATTTTTTAAGTTCAGAGTTATGACTTGGTGATAATTTGTATCTAGTGTCCTCTCCCTCCTCGTTCTCCTTCATCCTTTACCCGACCGAGGCCAATAAAGGAGACTCTAAGTAAGATGATTAAGGTCGTTTGTTCAAATCCAGGTCCCGGTGATATTCTAAATAGGCTTCAATGCAAAGAACAGAAGACGTCCCGTGGTGTAGAAGTGGTTCTGCCAGTTTTGTCGTCACTTGGTTGTACAATACGATTTGAAAAGCTTCTGTTCTCTCGTCCTGTAGGTGGAAATCTGCTCCGAGGTGTTCTTGCTGCAGGGCAGAGTCGTACTGAGTGCCTACTGTTTAACACTGAGCTGCGTAAATCTAACTCTGTCCCCCTCTCGCTGTGTGCGCAGGTAGAGAAGCACTACATTAAACTGCAGCCATGGATGAGATGGACCTGCCCCAGATGAAGAAGGAGGTGGAGAGCCTCAAGTACCAGCTGGCCTTCAAGAGAGAGAAGTCCTCCAAAACAGTGACCGAGTGCGTATAGTTCACCATCAATATGCAAACATCCGTATTTTTTTGAAAAGCGATGGAGATAATTTCACAGTTTCTTGATCACAAAGATTAAATTCTCCTTGTTCCTGACGACTCCTCAGGATTGGATGGAGAGGAGCACAAAATCCTCCTCACTGCTCCGTTCCATCTTCCTGCTGCGAAGATTCAGAACAAATAGAATAACGAAATGTTTTTGTGCGTGACGATTTCATTTCATTAGAGGACAGATTAAAAATATTGACTTGGTGCGCAAAGACCTTGAGAATTCATCTTTTCATCTGCAAGAGGAAAAATTAGTTTTTCTGTTGAAAGTTACATGAGCTCACATTTAAGAACAGTTTGATACCTCGGGAAATAATTCGCTGTCTTGCGTTGAGTTAGAGCGGGAGGTCAGTACGGGGGCTACATTAGCTTAGCATAAAGCTCCCTGGTTTGAAAGTCATGCCTTGTGCGGACGAGTGAAGTGTTTGTGATTCTTCATTTCGAACTGTCTCTGTCTCTTCCTCTCAGCTTGGTAAAGTGGATAGAGGACGGCGTCCCGGAGGATCCGTTTTTGAATCCGGAGCTGATGAAGAACAACCCGTGGGTGGAGAAAGGAAAATGCATCCTCCTCTAGAGCAGAGACCCCTCCCCCTGCCACGACCTCACATCTTCAACCACGCTGACCAACACACGCCCACAGATGACCCCCTGAACCCGACCCTCTCCGTGGACAGCGCCTCCTAACCTCTCACCGTGAATGTACAACAGCTGACACCCCCCCCCCAACCTCACGCCAACAAGGGCACAGGAACTCACACCCACAGACACACACATAGGGCCCCCCCCCCCGACTGCCACACAGTCACTGCAAGTGTATTCCTGCCACGGCACCGCATCACTATTATGATATGACAGCGATGATCAATACTCGTAATACACGTCTCTATGTGGATACACGAAGATTTATTTATGCAGCTGCCAGTCACAAGCTTTCTCTTCTCTTTGATTCTTTATTCTGAGCAGAGCGGTTTTTTATTTTATCGATCAACTAAAGTGTAGAGACCGATTCCCTCCACCCAAACTGACTGTAGGTCAGCTCGGGGGGGGGGGGGGGGGGGGGGGTTGTTTTTGGTGGTTTTTATATTGAAAATCAATAGATTGCACACGTCTGTGCAAGTTATTAACACTTCATGAGAACGAATCTGAAATGTCAATCAGAAAACGAGAATTATAATTAAGAATAAAATCCTTTTTAGTCTATTACACACCAAGGATTTGCTTATGTTGGTTTACAGGCTCTGTCCCGTAACCCATTAAGACCAGACGATGTCATTGTTTTCAAGACACGTGACGAATGAAATACACGTGATTCGCAGAAATTCTCCCTTGGAAAGACGGAATGCGTTACAGCGACGCACGAGACTAAATTGACCTCCCAAACTAAAATGAAGCCTTTACGTGGAATAAACAACACGAGAAGAGTTCGCCACGGCAGCAAAATGAGTTTTCAGCGTTTAAATCTATGTTCCCAGCGTGACTGAGTCTGTTCTCATAGTTTGTGGATTTCACAATGTCTGGTTATCATATTTATATTCTGCAGAGACAGAGATCTGCAGCGGGAGTCGATTTGCTTCGGTGTCAGCAGGTCAGAGAGTCGGAGCAGCTCTGTTTGTGTTGCCGGAGCAGAATGAAGCTGTGGGTCTCTGGAGGGGGTTTGAGTTTTCTGTTCCCTCTCCTCCTTAGCTACCGGCCCCCAGGCAACACACAAACACACACGCAAGCAAACAAACACACACACACACACACACGTACTGACAGACCCCTTTAACTTATTAACTTATGTATCAAAACTTTATTTATTTATTTATTGATGAGATCTTTCTCTCACATTTAGATTTTTTTTTTCTTCGTACGTCTGCACTCCCTCTTTCCTCAACTTGAAAAAAACCGACAACACCATCTACTGTACGACTGCCTTGTACTCAGTTTCCTTAATATAAGAATGTAAATACGTGGCATGAGGTTCGGACTCTGACCTCCGCACCGCTCTGTGTGTGTGTGTGTGTGTGTGTGTGACTGCGCGTTTGTGCATATTTTCAAGAAAAATAAGGAAAAAAGTCACTAAATTTGGACGTTAGTCTCCCATGTGGCTTTTGATGCTTGTGCATGCAGCTGCATCACAAACACACACAACTTATACTTCTATCTTAGTGAGGACACGTAATTCTTTCCTTGGCCCCCGAACACCGGGGCCACACTGGATGTGTGAGCGTCGCTGGATGTCTTTAAATTCAAGGTCTTAACAGACAGTTAAAAATCATCTGTCGCCACAGTTTCAATGTCGACATCTGTCAAATATGTGTCACAAACACAGGTATTTGCAACACTTCCTGTTCCTGTTTCGAAGTAAAAGCACTATTATTGTTATCGGGACATACTGTATGTGCAGGACCAGCATGGCTTCACACCACAGAGTCCTGGCTTTGAGTCCTGGCACATGGACCTGCTTTTATTAGAGGAAACACAGAAGTCTTAACAGACACCTCAAATAGCAGACGTGTACAAGACGCAGCAGACCAGCGACGCAGCCGCGCAGCACCGCTACCAGTGTGGCCCAGGTGTAACCATAACCATCAAACCAAACTCTGCTCACCCTGTCGGGTCCTCACAAAGATATCTGTAGGAGTGCACACACACTGCTCAGAGGTGAGGAGCGTCGAGGAGGTGGGATTCTCTAAATGACTCGGGGACAGAGGAGCCTCACTTCGTCTCAGTACTGTAATGAGTCTCATTATATACGTTTTCTTCTACACGACCCAGTTTCCTAAAGGTTACTCAGCGCTGAAGAGGACTTCGGTCCTGTCCTGTGTAAATGCAAATATCCCATTTTTCCTCTTTAAAAAAAAAAAAACAAAACAAAAAACTTGCAACCAACTCTGCACTTTCGTGGCGTGCCGATAAGCGTTGGTCATTACTCCTGTTGCTTGCTCGTACCTTGTGAAGCGTGTGAGGCAAAGATTCGTCGATCGCACCGACATGTTTCACGACTGCATCACTCCGCCTGTAGTGAGGCCCGTGAACGTTAAGACGTCCAGAACAACCCTCAGCATAAACGCATCATGAGTCCATGGTTCAATGAGAGGCATTATGTTTAATTAGACTTTTGTATTATTATTATTATTATTCTTGTTTTTATTCTAATAGTTTAGGTGTATGTTAACTAATAGACAAGTGAAGGAAGATTTCATTCACGTATAATCTGTTTGTAGCTTTTCCATTGTTCGGTTTGATTTATTCCCTCGACATGATTTTTTATTTTATTCTAAATGTTTAAATTCTCACACCACCATCACCACCACCACCGGAACACAACGACTGCCATCTCAGAACAGCCCAACACAAACTAAGAAGTACGTTTTCCTGATTCCCGGGTCTGTTTTTCTTTTGGTCTGGCTACTGTAACTTGTCTGGGTTGTTTTTATATAATCAGAACATGCGTATGTGTGTATGTTACTACTATTATAACGACAGCATAAAAACTTGTCTAAATATCTAGCGACATATTCCTCGTGAGAGTGCTTTGGAAAACTTATTATGCATCAGATCAAGTCCTAGTGTAAAGATGACAATGAGCAATAAATTAAAGATCATTTTTTATTGAATGTTTTACAGAAACATTTATGTTCTTGAATAAAGTAGAAGATTTTTAGACAGCTTGGTTGTCGCTTTTCTTTTGTTTATACTCTGTGAGTCCCACATTCACGTTATTCATGCAACTATAAAAATCCGGATGAACGTGGTGCAGCGGAGCAAAGAGGGAATGAATGTCACGATTGTCGGAGGACCGTTGGTTTTCATTTCATCACTGCGGCTTCGTTCAGCCTCTGCAAAACTTTAAAGTCCAGCAAGAGAAGAGATTGAGGAGGAGACCTGCAGTGGAAGTAAAGGAGATGAAACTAGAAGAAGAGAAAGACAGGAAGCTGCTTCTCCTCCTTCCTCCTCACTGCTTCTCATGAATAATAGAAAACAGGAGCTGCAGGAGGGATCTCACTTTTTCCTCCATGTCAGTGCCTCTTGGTCTCTCACTTTCCCTCTCTGTCTCTCGATGCACGAGTCGCTGGAAACGCTGATCCTTGGAAACAGATACTGTCCGGAAGCTGAACTTGCTAAAATAAAAAGGAAATTCAAGATAATTTTGACCAGATCAATTTTAGCTTCGATTGTTTCAAGTCCATTAATCTCTTTGACCCAAACGTATCTGGTATCATCTCCGGGTTATATTACACTGGGGGACTTGCTCACTGAGGGACTCCCAATGGGAGACCTTGCCCCGGCAGCCGAAAGACTAAAGCTGCTTTCAGACGTGCACTGAACTCCTGATAATCTCCTGAAAGTGTCCGCAGGGGCTGCATGTGACGTGAGAACGCACAACATCCAAATCAGTTGTGAGATATCTCGACATGAAAAAGAGGAGCCGTGCACGATGACGATGAGATTCAAGAGCTTTTGATTCAGCCACAATTAAATGGACCTTGAGAATCAAGGAGGAGGAAAACGTCTTAACTTGTAATTACTGTCCCGATATTTATATTTTCGACACTGGTGTATTTATTCGGTGCTGAATATTATATTCTGAACAGCAGGAGGAGGACGGGATGTTGGGACGGCTGACTCCTGCTCAGGGTGTGTCTGTCTGCTTTTTATGGGTCAGCTCCCCTCAATCCCTTCCACACACACTGACACACATGCACTCACTAATGCACTCAATCCCCCTCGCCCTCCCTCGCTGGTAAATCCTCACCCCCATTGTCCCTTTCCCCCTGAAATCCTCAAACCATCAGCCCTCCTCCGTGCACACACACACACACACACACACAGTCTGCAGTCAGGGCTAATGCACTGGTTAATGGCCCCTCTAACCCCCGTTCGCTCTCAGATTACTCTCTCAAGCACGCAAGTGCGCAGACACACACACACACACACACACACGTGCATACCAGCGCATCTCAATATGCACGTGCACATTTACATATAAACTCACACACACACACACACACCAGTAATATATGAACGTCTTCATATACTCACACTCAAACACGCAGAGACGCACAAACACAAAATAGGAGCTAATGGCCTGTTGGTCCACAGTGTGTAGATTCACGAGTGGATTAAGATTAACAATCCACCCACAACAACATCACACACACACACACACACACACACACACACACACACACAAAGAGAAACAGAACCAATCTCTAATGCACATTCTGCTGCTGAGGTCACCAGATGCCATCTAATCTGAGAGCTTTGATCCAGTCTTCTGGGGACCTTCTCGTGAACGTCTCTGTGTTTAAAACGGTTTGGACGCTGTGAGCAGGAAGTGCACATGACTTCACGAAACATTCACTAAACTAAGATGTCTGGAAACGATGACGTAGACGATCACAACCTCTTCCCGACAACGTACCCGTCACTGACTCGTCAGGCTCCTATCACACGTCCAGTGTAGAAAAACACAACGCGGGTAATAAAGTACTGAAACTTAAATTCGATAATGTCTTTACATGTGTTGGAGACGCGATATTGGTCGTTAGCAGCCTCGCTCTTTCTGCAACCAACGACCAGATGACTGAGTGAGAGGTCACATGCGTTGTCAGGTGTGTTGGTAGTTTGGAGCCTCTGAGAGACAGTTCAGCTGATCCACTGAAGGATCTCATTCTACCT